AATCAACACGACAAAACGGATGACACGCAGGCATCATAAACGGAAGATATTTGTATACGTCAAGGACATTTTAAAAATATATATCTCTTGTTAAACAACGTTAAAAAGCAGTCTTTTCTTTTTCGTTTCTTAAATCGCGCTCTTATCTAAGTGTTGAAAACTATTATTATTAGTAGTAGTAGTAGTAGCAGTAGCATTATTAGTTTTAGCAGTAGTTGTAGTCATTCATGAACGTCCGTATCAGATTTCTTATGGATTAAGAAAGAGTCAATTTCCTCATATCTAGGGAACCTTTCACAAGTGACAGAAACGACAGTGTTTGTACAACAACGTTTCTACCTATGATTTCTAATGTTTTCACAGTTCAAACTATACACACGATTATAAACAAGATTTTATTCTTTTTGCTCCGTAACTTCCTCAGTTCTCGGGCAAATTCCTGTGATTTAGCTACTTTGTTAAACACATTGACATTTACTCTGTCTCACCCTGTATTTAACTGATTCATATTTACACGTACTCCATAATTCGGTAAATTTTCTTGAATGGGATGGTCGAGACGGATGTCGGAATGTGTTTTAGGATTTGTTCAAACCAGTTTGTAGTTTCTGTTAAAACAATTCCGTTCTCGAATCAATAGATATCTCAGTTGTGGTGCCAACATGCTAAATTCACTGATTTTGTGGTCTATTGTTTCATCCATATCTCCTCGGTAGTGGCATCTGCTGTTTTTCTGGCTTTTATCATCCTTCGTTTTTGTGTAGTTTGTATGAACAACCTTTACTCTTTGCAAATATCTGAACTCGTTAACAACTCCTCAACTAACAACACTCGAACAATTCTCGTCAGACTGTATCATCGATTTTATGTCTTAATATTTTGATACAGTTTCTCTGAAAATGTCTCTCCACGAAGTAAGGATTTGGTATTATTATCATTATTATTATTGATTTCGTCTAGGAGCCTTCACACACGAGTATACTTGATTTCGGTTACGGACTTCACACTCTAGTATTCTTGATTACGTCCGAGGTTTGTACAGTCTAGTATGCTTGATTCCGTCTAAGGGCCTACCCACTCTAGTATGTTTGATTTCATCTAAGAGCCTGCACACTCGAGTATGCTTGATTTCGTCAAAGGACCTGCACACTCTAGTATGCTTGATTTCGTCTAAGGTTTGTCTAAGGGCCTGCACACTCTTGTATGCTTGATTTCGTCTAAAGGCCTGCACATATAAATATGCTTAATTGTCAAACTCTTCGTAACCAGGTGGCCAAAGCACAACAGATCTGACGGTGGTTTTCCATACAAAGTGGAACGCAGGCTCGAATCCAGCCAGACGGTACTTTTTCTGTAATAGGTTTACACGTGTGTATTGACCGGTAAACGGAATACATAATGTTTAAAATACATATGTACATCCAATAAAATTAAATTTGAAAGAATTAAAACAAGCGCCAGTGCAAGATAAGGGAAACATGGTCGTATCGAATTTTGTATTCTCTCGGTACCAGCATTTTACAGCTACTGATATTCTCCAGTTTACCACCACAAACCTGACACATTGGGCCATATGTAGCGTAGTGCACGTTGGTGGTTATGGGCACTATTATCATCATTATTACTATTATTATTATTATTATTTATTTCAACTGTAATTATTGCTGTCTTCATTGTTTGAGATTTCCACTTCAAGGTTATTATTATTATTTTTATTATATTTCCTTCTTTTCTGGTTGGTTTATAATGTACGGTGACTTTCCTAAGCAGTTTCGCCAATATTGTCAACGATTTCCACAATGCTATGATTTAATAATTTAAATTCTTTGTCAGATTTGCAATTTAGGCTTGAAAGAAAGCAATAATGTTCCTGATGGATAACTAACCCTGTATGCTAGATTTGCATACATCTCAAGCAATTCTTTATTTATTTTTATCACTTTTATCTAATATGTATTTGTTTTAAAGTTTATAAATTTTATTCATGTTAAGAATAATCAGGTTCGCCCGAAAAATATCTAGTTTAGTCCAAAAGCGTTTCGTCTTTTATTTTATTTCAATTTACTTGGGAGTATTTTGCTACATGTTCGTTTCTAGATTTGTATAAGATAAGGGGAACATGCTTTTGATCCAAACATGAGTTTGAGTTAATAATCATTACAGTTGTCCATATTTTTAAATATTTAAAAAATAATGTTTGTTCCAGATTGTTTTAGATTTTCTGTGTCTTTCATCTAATAAGCCTGGTTCTTGTGTCTTGCACATACTGTTCGAAATTGTAAATGAAGTTTGTCACTGTGAAATTTCTATTCTCAATAAATAGATAGTAAAAACAAAAATGTGACTATCGTCATTAAAACTTGGCTCACTGGCTGTTTATAATGCCACCCATATTAATGACGTGTAGGCTATATTTATTTATCTCTATTTATTCTTTTTACTGTTACAAAATACTTTGTCACTCTTGGAGAATGATTGCATCAAAATATATATTGAGGATACAAAAATTAATATTATTATTATTCGTTGTAGTAGTTTTCGTAATGTAAATTTTATATATATATATATATATATATATATATATATATATATATAGGATATATTTGAATATTTATTAATTCATGTTATTTTAATTTAATGTAAATAACTCATTTATATGGGTTTATATGATAGCCTCGAGTAGTATAGAGCATGCATGTATTTTTTAAAAAATTTTAATTGTTTATTTCTACTTGTTTGCTTCGAATGACTAATGTTAACATAAAACGTATATTTCCACTATTCATTTTGTTGATAATCATTACCTGAAAACAAATGAGACTATTATAGAAAGAGAAACATATTCGCACTATTATTATTATTATTATTATTATTATTATTATTATTGTTGTTGTTGTTGTTGTTGTTGTTGTTTTATTTCCTTTGTTTTCTGCTGTTTATGCATTTCTTTCCGCGTCCTGCCCAGAGAGTTAAGGTCAGAAATTGCATCATGGCATTTTTTACTGACCAATTAAGAAAGAAAAAAAAAACAAAAACAAAAAAACAACACAAATATTTTACATAGATAAATCCCTTCGTAAGGTGTGGGCTGTACTCGTGAGAACAATTTTTTCTATTTTATTTAAGTTATGGGCTTCCAGAATTCACTTCAATGAGTCTACTGGAATCATTTCCAACCAATCCGAGGACTCCAACTACAACATGGATTGTTGATGTTCCCAAGTGCCACAATTTTGGGATTTTGATGTTATTATTATTATTATTATTGTTACACTTGTTTTTTTTTTTACATGGTTTTGCATTTTCCATTGGAGATCATGCATTATGGATGTTTCCGTCGAGTGCTACATCCTCATACAGAAAGCACCATTTGCATAATATTTGCAGTATCAAGTAACGCGGACTTCTGAAGATGATGATGATTATTAGTAGTATTAGTAATGTTGTTCAATCTATTTTCATTTTCATACGTTGTTTCGAAGAACTGAATAAAAATACATCCCAATTCTTCAGCAATTCTCACGCTATGTACGAATAGTCGTTGAGCACAGTTGTCTGGAATAATACAATTATATCTTTAATTTCCATTTAATAAAATCTCGATGGACACGTGAGTTCGAATCTCACCTTGGTCGATTTGCCAGAAAGATGACTTTTTGATGTCATCGGCATGCGTTGCCGGGCCCAAAGAGCGGCATCTTTCGAAAGTATCTGAAAATGCATGCCACGGTTTGACCGAAGCTTTGTTAGTGAAATTTGGTAGACGAAACTATTTGGGAGTTGTCGACGTATGTGCTAGAAGGAAGTCATAACTTATGGTGAGTGAGGCAGTGAGTGTATTGGGCTAGTTCAGACTGTTGATTACGCCAGATAATGCACTCTCATGCGTCTACAGCAAGGATTGGATAGCTGGCCGAATAGGATAATCATTATAATCAAATTCCAACTCCAGTGTACATGGTCTGCTTTCAAATTATGCTTCGTTCATGGCACAAAAATAATCGTTTCTCAATACAAATCTTTGATTTCTTTTGTCTTCAAACTGTGGCCCGCTGTCAAAATATGTCGAAGTTCTTTTGGATATCAACATCAGTCGGATACAGTCTTATATAATACTTTTGATATTTTAGGATTTCTTTCTGATTCAAATTGTTTAACAAGCTTCTTCCCAAAGACCCAGTTTCTGGTGTTTCTTTTCTCCATTTATTTTTTTAAACATTTAACCGCAAGCAAGGCGATAATCCCGCTAAACGGTTAAGGGTTTACTGAGAGTGAATGAAAGAGAATTTTAAGGACAATAAATATAGGAATCAGGGTGATAGGAGATGGCCATTGACAATACATTTAAATGTTTGAAGATCGTAGGAGGTAGTAAAGAAAGAAATCGTGAGAAAAGCGATAAAATAAACTATTACGATACAAATTACGATAACTTATAGCTTTTTCCGAAATAAGATTTAGAAGTACGCTTAAATTCGTGCAGTGGAGGTATCAGGGAGGAAAGTTCATTAGAAAAATTGCCATGTAAATATTTATAGAAAGAAAAGAGAGAAGACATGTCACGGCTGTGAGAAAGTGACTAAAGTCAAGATTCCAGATCAGAATCGATAACATTACTGACCGTTCCTTGGATTTTCTTAATCTTCGCTAGATATACAGCGGTGGCACCAGAAAAAAATATGCATATAGCGATATTTAGTGTAAGGACGAATTACTGACCGTGGTTTACTGTCTGCTATTTCTTCGAAACGCTTGTCTTTACTATTTATTGAGGTTCGGTTTAACTTTCATTATTTTTTGATAATAACGAATATATTCACAACTAAGATATAATCATTACACTTTTGCATAGAAGTATATGCAAAGACAGATACAAATAATGTATATGGTATATATATTCAATATACATTTGTTATGTTATATATATATATATATATATATATATATATATATATATATATATAGGCACCTTTGCTCAAATGAAAAACAGCAAAAATAGGCTAGAAGATAGAATTAAACAAACATAAGAAAGTAAGAATATCCGAGGAGAAAAATAGAAAGAAAATAAAATAATGTATGAAAAAAGTAAGAACAACTGAGGAGAGAAATAGAAAATGTTTGAAGAAAGAGAAAAAAGACATAAATTGACAAAAAAGAAAGAAGGAATTAATAAAAATTAAAACAATATAATATTCATATGAAGAAAGAAAGAACAGAATAAAAAAAACAAAGAAAAAAAATAAAAGAAAAGAAAAGAAAAGAAAAGAAAGAAACAATAATGTACGAGTGAAGAGAAATAAAAAAGTATGTATGACGTTAAGAAAGAAAGAAAAAAGAAAGAAACAAACAAACGAAAGAAAGAAAGAAGGAACGACTGAAGGGAGAATCAGAAGGAAAATAAAATATTTTATGAAGAAACGAAAGAAAAAGAAAGGAAAGAATGAGTGGAGAAAAAAATGTATAGGGGGAATTAAGGAAATTTGACTGCGTTTAAGTAGTATGATGTGTGCTCGATGTTAAGGTATAAAATGGCGGAATGGCACAAACTCAATAACGTTTTCACATGTTCCGAATGATCCAAAATCCGTATTGTTTATATGTAGACCGTAGATTCTTCATTCGTGGCTAGGCAACGCTGTTCAAAAATTAAGAAAAATTAATATATAGTAGAGTGATCATTTACTAGTGCATGAGTAATGACACATGGCTGGAGCTAACAAATTAGTTATACTAAACAAATATAAATGTGTATGGGAAAAAATCTAAGATGAAATTGTTGAGAATCGAATAAATATTCCAAATATAAAAGTGGATGTATGGTCGAATAATGGATAGCTGCTGGGATTGAGGAATCGAAGTTAGAATCCTAGTCGAATTCGTTACATTCACTTACGTGGTAATTCACTTGAGAAACTTATGAGCCCATCTCTTCTTCCCCCAGCTATGGGTAAATAGCAGGACAGACTAGGCCCTATAGCCTTGAGTGGCAACCAGCCTAGAAGAAAGAACACTTTGAATTGAAAAACTCAGAAAGGACGTTTGGTTCCCTCACCTATGGGCTAATGAACGGAAAGTTTGTGTTTTATAGCCTTGTGTGATAGCCTGTCTAGGAGAAGAACAATTCAGAATTCCAAAATCTGAGATAGAGTCGCTTAGGGGACGGTGCCGACCCACAAAATATTTCTTGGTCTTCGGCTGTTGGTAAAGTGCTTGGAGAGGAGATGGAAAATGCCAAGCTGCCTGAAAAGAAAACTGAATTGATCATGAGGAGTACAAATCAAAGCAGAACCACGCCGGATTGACGGCTCATCTTGGGGGTGGTTATCAGTTTATCCTGCCCTTAAGTCGCCCCAGCGATTGAAGCAATCGGGGGATTAATGATAATGATGATGAGGTACGCGAAAGAATTCTAAAAATTTCTGAGCGAGCAAAACTTTATCGGATTATTTTCCCCAAACATCAGTCGCCTTTACGTTGGAAAATACCCAAATATATTTATGGGTTCATCTGGAGTCCCCACGAAAATATTTGTGAGCATCTGATTTTGTTGAGAGAATATTCTTTGTCTGAAGAAAAAGTCTACCTCCTAATTGTAGTGTCTGAGGGTTTTATAAATAGAAAAGCTCACATTTGCACAGAGTTTCGTCCTCTGACTTGGTAGATAAGGATTTACTTCCGCCAGAATAACATTTATTTTTTAATTATTTCACCCCAAGCAAGGCGAGAGTGCCATTAGCACGCAACGGGTTACAGAAAATGAAAGTAAAGAGATAAGGATAAAGAGAAGGATGAGGATCCATATTAAGGTATCAGAAAATATATTAAAGTTTTGAAGATGATAGTTATCAGGGAAGCAAGTAAGGGGATTCTACAGTCAGGAAGTGCGAGAAAAGGACCTTACATTTAACTGTTTCGACAGTGAAAGGGTGGGATCAAGAGGCCAACCTAGTAGCACGTTTAAATTCATGCATATATATTCATTCAGATCTAGATCTATCTATATCTATATGCAACAGACTATCCTTATTGTTTCGTCCGTGTATTGGTTGATATATTGAAAAGTAATTGTCATCTTTGATAATGGGTTATGTAAGCCGAAGCTTAGATTGGATTTAAACATGTATCAATATGGTGATTTCCTTTCGTCTTTCAATGATAATGTTATTAAGCTTATCAGACAATATGAAAGGAACTTATTTAAAATAAATAAACAAAACTTGTCTATATTATTTAATGAAACATACATTAATGAAAAATTGCTACCTAAATATACACAATCTATCTATCTATCTATCTATCTATCTATCTATCTATCTATCTATCTATGTATGTGTGTGTGTGTGTACGGTTTTTATGTAACAATTGAGAGGCAGTGTGCAAAATAATGATGACCCACTGGATGCCGTGCTAACTTGACCTGGTTGGTGCGTAATGTTATCGCTAACGAAGAAGATTCGTATATATAATACGCCACAAAATATCTTTAAGAACGCTTGCTTCGTTTTAAAAATTCAACTTTAAAAAGTTTAATTCAAAAAAATGAGAGGGGCAAAAAAATATCTGATAATATGTAGGACGAAAAATATGCAGTCTCTGATATTACAGATTGAATCTACGGACTGCCAAAAATTGCTCAGATCTTCCAAACTTTACACAAAAATTATTGTGCTTTAGGAACTTATGCAGTAGACAATTTTGGTTGTAATTATGCAACATTTATGAGGATAATACACGGATGTCATTCCTTAGATGTTTATAAATTGCACGCTGATCAATTATTAAGGTTAACAACGAACTCTCTTAAATTAAAAAAAAATGTACTTGGATTAAACGAAAATTACTTACAATACAATATTACTTATAAAACTTCTTGCCGTCATTTATTATTGTAAGGTATACTAATATAAATATAAAACAAGACAGATATTAATAATGATATATAATATTCTCTTATGCAGCATTTCTCTAAACGTATATCAAGGGTTCACAAGGGTAAAATGTTGGCGAAATGATGCCATAGAGAGACTAACCAGAAAATAGAGACAGAAGGAAAGGGTATGTTTTTGGTGATGTCTACAACGCATCAGTATGAAACAGACTTCACTAGTCAGGGGACAGGTCATCTATGTGGCGGATTCATGTATCAATAAGGGACTCACTTGAGTACAGGACGTAGCCACGGTGTCCGCATATTATGTTTACTATGTGAAGGTGATAATATTAATTAAAGTGATATATATTAATAAAAGTATATAATAATTTCCATGCAGGGGTTCGATGAGACATGCGAATTATTTCAAGGCTTCCACAAGGGGAAAAACATAGGAAACGTTGGTCTAGAGAGTAGCGTTCTCTCTAGCTAAAAACAAAAAGAAAGAAGACGTTATTTTGTAGCAGTTATCAGTAATATATAGTTGTGTGCTATAATTAGAATGACCTTGTAATTTGTATTTGGGCCTGTCGAATATCCACTCTGAAAGGTAAACACAACACCAGTTACAAAACAGCTGAGGACAGATTGTGATGGGAAAATATAACATCTGGTGTGGTAGTATTCACAAGTAGTCATTCCCCTGAGAAACACTGAGGCTTTGCATAGGTAACCTAACAGCAACAGCATAAGAATCAAAAAGGGTCACCAGGTCTTGAGGCATGTTCTGTAATCGAGTCTTATAAGTAATTACCTGAAAATATTTTAAACTAACAAATTTCATCAGCCTGTGCATAAATTGACTTGCATACACTTTTTGTTATTGAAGATCAATATATGAGAAATATTAGGTTGGCCAAAATGTCCTGACTCACTCAGGAGGGGGAAAGAAAGCAACAAAATTTTATAGATCCACACCAACATTTATTGTTTAAAATTTTTGTGACGTCAACGAATAGTCGCTGACATTTTTGTAATGTTCATTGTAGTAGAGACTTTGTAATCGCAGATACAACTATAGTACAACATTGAACAATGCTGGTGCCAGACGCCTTGGAATAACACTCGCATTAATAGTACATGCTTGATAATACTTGCTCGACAAGTAACCCGTATAGTGATCAGTATAGAGAAATAGTATAGCGAATAGAGAAGAGAATAGCGGACCGTAAATCATAGAGGATAGAGAAGAAATAGCGATTCGAATAATAAAAGAGTTTAGACTAGAAATGACGATCCATATAGTATGGAGGATAGACTAGAAATAACGACACTTTAGACGTCACGCGACTTCCTATATATGAGTTCCCTCTATGGTCACGTGATCCACTTAATTCAATAATAGGATCACCGTTGTTTACTCTCTGGCGATCTATGTTCAGACTCAAGTGTCGCAGTGATATATATCAAAAAATAAAGTCCATCATTCTCGCGGATCTTCTGCTGGCGACCAGGCAACCTCCGATTCTTTCCCAGATACCTATCCGCTGGCTTTGAATCAAAAACAGTAAAGAAGCTTCCTACACTTCATCAAAAGTGTTGTATCCCTGGTGGCGAAGAAAGTGTGTCATTGAGCGGAATAGTTCATGGTCACACAGAGCAGCATCTGAACTGAATGGTGGATGTGGAATCTCAACACCGTCCATCCGTTTGAACATTTCCTGGTCTTGATGAATCAAAGCCTGATTCCGACATACCAAAGCATGTACTCCTCCTTTAGTTTGTCGTACACGAGTTCTAGCTGCTGTCAATACAATTTAGCGTTGATGGAACAAGCAATACATTACTCCTTAGAAATACCACAGGCAGTGATCAAGATTTGTTGTTTTGTTTTCGATTCCACTGTGAGTTAGATATTCTGGCCAACCTAGTACTAGAATCTTATGGTGCCATTAAAAAAAAATGACTGATTACGGTCGATTAAGGAGCACAACTTGGAGTTCCACGAAATTCAGATCTTTACAGCTAGAAATCTATGCTGCTTTCACGGAGTCTTATCGGCCTTATTTCTCCCCGTATTTTAATGTAAGGAGGATATTCCACAAGAAAGGCTACTTGGAATAAATTTCTTCGTTTATACTTCCCTACGATCTTGGCTTTTTCAAGCCAATAACCAAGTCTTAAGAGTTAGACGATGAAAGACGAGATAGCGAAATCAGAAAGTACTTTGGAAGTGACACTGAAGATTTCGTTACAAACCAAGAAAAAGAGTTGAATTCCTATTTAGCATCAATCATTCTATATGGGAGTATATTGTGACAACCTTGCTAACTATTGCACAATGTCAAGGTACCCTATGTTTGACAGTGTATAATGGAAAATTTCCTCGCCGTCGACATATGAGGCCAGAAAAGTGTGTTCTAAACAGAAGACTGTCCAGAATAGTAAGGGAAGAGCATGTGAATAACGATGACATTTGAAAGGAGATGGAAACAAACAAAAAAAAAGACATTTATTCATAGAATCAGAAAGGGAAAGTTAAAGGTAACATTTCTAAGACACATAATGAAGAAATAAGCTTTTGGAAATTTGACATCTATAGAACCTATTGAAGGTAAATGGAAAATGCTAAGTCACATAATTAACGATCCAGTGTAACTGGATGACAGGGCAGAGGGAGTTACGGGGGATAGTGAGAGAACAAATATTGCGTAAGAGCTATAAATGCTGGGAGGTTGGAAAAAACGATATTTATTTTGTACAATTTTGGCACAACAAAAAAGTGGGGTTGGAGAAAGGCCGATCTTCTGTCTTATAATTAAATTTAGCTAGCCATAATTACAGACCCAAATATGCCACAATATTTTTGACACCAAAACAGCACACTCTTACATACCATTCTTACTACATCAACCATAATACCTTAGATTCCCTATGAATCCCTAACTGGTGCACATATTTACCATCTAAAAAACACTGAACTTCTTTTTCTTTTTATCAGATTTTCAGATAAGATGTTTAGCCATCTTAACACAATTTTTCGTAAGAATCACTGTAAAACCTTTTGAATTAATCAGCTAGAAATAGAACAGGCTAAAATCGTTTTGTGTCAACTCCACTATGTCTTCCTAACTGAACAACGGTAAGAGGAAAAAGTTCAGCCAGACTGTCAGTAATAGTATCAACATTTATAATCTGGTTTTCTTCTTCAAAGTTCACTCAAGAACGATCATGAAAATGGTGAATAAGCGTAAAAATGATTTCTAAGATACAATGATTCAAAGCTTAATCTAACGATTGAACAATTTTGGTGTTACACCCTTTATAGGGTGTATCAAAAATATTTTTACAAACAAGGACAACATTCTATATAAACACTTGTGCACAAATACTTTGTTTTTGAGTTATTAACTTTAAAGATTAAGGTAGACGCTGTTAAATGTACAATAAAAGATACAATACAAAAATGATTTTATAAACTTTAGGTGGGGCGGCTTTCTGATACGAAAACAAGGTAAAATCTCCATATAAACATATGTCCGAAACACCATCATTGTATCTGAGCACAGCAACTCATGACAGATGTCAAAATGTCCTCCGTTTGTTTCTGCACTCATGCAGCCATTATTGAATGGAGGACATTTTCAAAGAGTCCCACACTGTGTCGAATGGTTTCGCCGGTCACCATGACACATTGATGGTCTCTGCATTAATAATGTCTGCTGCATTAATCACTAGTTTTAGGTGTACCTACGGATAAAAATCCAAAGGCCCGGAGGAACGTCCAGGTCATGAAACCGGGGTACCCTACCTACCAATCTTTCATGGTAGGTGAGAGCCCGTGCACCACGAAAAATGTGACTAAAATGTGTTGGAGCCGCATCATGCATAAACCACATGCTTTTTCGTATTAGCAGGGATACATTCTCTGGAAGTGTGTTCAAAATTTAAGAAGTGCTGTGAGGACATATGGACCTACCAGACATTCAGCTACAATTCCATCCCACGCATTAATTGCAAACTGACTCTGATGTCTAGTCTGTATTGTGCCATGAAAATTCTAATCCAATTGTAAATGCTGGTTCTGTAAATTTGTTATTTCATCTCTTCCAAATCTTAACACATCCATAAATAAGTCTGAAGAGAAAAGCAATAGTTCGGCAGTTTGTGCAATATACCATAGAGCAAAATTTCTCCCGTGGTTAGTGATCAGAGGGCGAAAGACCCTGCAGAATTTCAAAAGATACGGATGCAGAAGCTGCCATAGAAGTACTTTGCATGCGGTACTATGAGATGTACGATATGCTATGGCCACTTGACGTGTGCTGATATCTGGATTGTCATCGACTGCCTGTAGAATGTGGTCTTCGTGGTCAGGCGTACGAGCGGATCTCGGTCTTCCTTGATCCATAGTTTTGGGTGCCATAGATCCTGTCTCAGCAATGTGACGATAAACAGAAGCAAATGTTGGAAAATTTGGGCTTCTTCGTTCTTGCAACGCAATCTTATACATACACGCAGCCGCATGGAAGAATCATATCAGCCTGCTCACGATATAAATATTCTACTATTGTTAAACGGTTTAACTCATTACTACATACGTTAATCATCGAAGACGAACTATTCATAAATGTACACGAAAGGCAAATTTAACCAAGTCTAGATGACAACAAAGTGGCATCTACCGTAAACTTACTTTAAAATTAATAACTCAAAAGCGGCGGATATGTAGACATATGTTTATATGAACCCTGTTTTGTTATGAGGTACCCGCCCCTACATTTTGTAAAATTATTGTTGACTTACCCTGTATAAGAAAAATCTGTTGAGTGTTCGTCCTTGAAATTTGGGCTATTAAAATTTTTAGCGATGTGTATAATTTGGTGGAATATAAAGCCACATGCATTCACGATGATGGGTTTGTATACATTGGAGATGCACAGTGCAATAGTGTATGTGGGTGAGCGATTGTGCATAAAAAACAGGTAGAAGATTAAGTATAAGTGAGAATTTTAATTTTTTGTTAGTTTTTCGAATAGGGGGAAAACACGTACAGATCTTTATAGACGATTAAAATGTGCCATTATTTTGCGCGAAATAATTGGAAAATGTTGGCTAAACGTTCGGTATATACGTATTTTTCCTCTCTGGGAACGTTTTCGTGATGATGGAGATTACGTGCAGAATATGATAAAAGAAAAAAAGCATTTAAAAAGAAGTGCATATCTTAGAAATCCTTGTTGACGTCTTGGAGCCACTGGTGAAGGATTAATGGCAAGGTAAGTGTCCGTGGCGAAAGTCTTTGAAGCACTTCTCATGCAAGTCACTTTCGAAACTGCAGAAAGAAAGCACTCCACGTCTGTATAAGGATTGATGGTTGCGGAGAGCATGTATTAAGACACTTATTAAAAGGAAAAGCGAATCTGCAGAAACATGATATGCTGCAATTTGTCACCGCACGAAGTAGAATCTTTAGATCGAGAAAGAAAGCCAGAAAGAGAGGGGTATATGGAGAGAATGGTAAATAAAGAGAGAGGAGTAATGTAGAAAGATTGGAAGATGAATGGAGATGCCTCCAAAAATTAGGGAGAGTAAAAAAGACAGAAGGTAGGATATGGGCAAAGAGAATAAGGAAGAAAAGTCATGTCACTTGGTGAAAGTAGCTGATGAAGAGAAGATAAAGGAAATTACACTAAAAAGCAGTAAGCAAGTAGATGTTATATATGAATGACGATAGATAAAAGAAGTTATAAAGTGGAACATGGGTGGGGGATCAAAATTTAGAGGCTGAAATAGAGCGGAAGAAGAAAGAGTTAATGAGTAACCGAAAGAAAAGAAAGAAAGTGGATAAGGAGAAAGAGGAGAAATGGAGAGAGACATAGTGGAACAGAAAGAGAATTTGACGGAAAATGATGACTAGTGAGAAAAAGAGAAAAAGTAAAGAAAAGAGATGTTTAGGTGCACAGTGATAAGGTAAATATGAGTAGCAAAAGTTCGGGAATGAAAGAAGATAGATAGATAGATAGATAGATAGATGAGTGAGAGAGAGAAGAGAAAGAAAGAGAAATACAAACGGAGTGGAAAGAAAATGCATTAGGCGTGAGGGGGAGAAATATTTACAAAGAGAGATGAGATAAAAGGAAAAGGAGAACGAAAAAGGAGATTCAGTTAGAAGAGCAAATAAATGAGTTTGATGGATTAAGGTACATGAAGACAGACAAACAGACAGACAGATAGATAGATAGATAGATAGATAGATAGATATAGAAAGTGAGAGACAAGAAGAATATTATTGAACAATTAAGGATGATTATGGAATTTTGAAAAAGAAAGAGGAAAAAGTTAAAATAATGGAGAAAGAGATAATGGACAGAAATGTGAACGTGAGTTAGAGAGATACACTGATATTGAGAGTGCGAGAGAGGGAGTATGATGGTTAAGAGAGGATGAAAGAGAGGTTTCGAGAGGAAATATACAGGAATAGAAAGAGAAAAGGAAGTGAAAAAAGAGAGAGAAAAGTACTGCAGAGAGCGAGAGTACGTTTCAAGAGTGATTGAGAGATGGATTGATTAGTATGAACGATGATAGAGAGAGGTGACGGAACGAAAGGGAAAGGCAATGACAGAATGATTTAGTAGAATTTTGTACATGAGAGTAAAAAAAATATTGAGGGGAAAATATGCAAGAATTAGAAGAGAAAAAGCTAAAAAGGGAGGAAAAAAGACGCACTAAGGTAGCGAAAGTTACATTACAAGTAAAAAGCAAATTATGAAGGAATGAAAATTTTGTTGAAACGAAAGAAAAGTGCACTTAACTCTTGTATAATATCAGTGATCATCTATTGCCGAATATGCAGAACAATCATGACATGAAAAGTAGATAAAAAAAACAATCTCAAGACACAGCAGAGAATATAGGACTATGCACAAATAAATTAGGAACAAATAAAAGTGGACTAAAGAGGAATGACACAATGAAAAATGTGTAAAAATATTAACAGATTAAAGGCCCCAGATAAAATAGATATTTTTTTTAAAAAAGGAAAAAACAGAATGAAATACATGCTTATCATGTTTGTGACACTGATATTGGAGAAAGGAAAAACACTTCAGAGATGAATAGAAAAGTGAGAGAATAGACTGATAAGCAGAGAGAGAGAGAGAGAGAGAGAGAGCAAGAGGAAGAAAGAGAGAGTAAGGAATTGGTTTTGATTATGAATCATTTAAACTGGCAAAAGGATATATATATATATATATATATATATATATATATATATATACAATTAATATGAAAAAAGTTTTTCACTCAGATATATGACTACTATATGAGTTGGACAATTCTGCAAGTTTTCAGATATCTATATGAGCGCAAAACTCCAAAGTCAGCATGACAGGAATACTGCTTAATGAAAAAAAACAAAACTTTTTCATATTAATACTCTTAACACATTATCTCTATGTCCGATATTGTGAAAAATCTGTTTGCACTAAATGCCATTCTATCACCAAACTACTGATAAATCAGCAAGTTTCGCTTCTAAAACAGTCTCTCAAACTAACACTAAATAGATAGTTAGATAAACAGATAGAGACAGCGACGGGAAGGGAGTGTATGATGGTTAACAGTGAGGAGAGAGGATGGATGGTTGCACATAGTAACTTCTAACGCGGTTTTTATTTGTTAGCCTTTGATTTTCCACTGAATTGTAATATGGGATCTTTAGAGATTTCATTTGCTACAATTTTCATGATATCGCCGGGAAAATGCGATTCTATCACCAGACAAATTATATATGTCGTTAAAGGGATAACAGCAACGTGGTGGATCTAGTGGCATGGTTACTAGTGTGTAGTACTAAAGAAATAGAATCTTTATACATTGTATCAGATATTAGTCAACAACTTCATATTAAAATTGATATTAAAAAAGCAATATTAGCAAATATGCTTCTTGGCCAATGTAATGATGATGTATGTTATTCCAATGATAAAGGTATCCACAGATTTGAGAAGAATAGTATATATATATATATATATATATATATATATATATATATATATGTGTGTGTGTGTGTGTGTGTGTGTGTGTGTGTGTGTGTGTGTGCAAATATATATATATATATATATATATATATATATATATATATATATATATATATACATACATATATACATACATATATATATATATATGCATATACATACATACATTTCCAATATATCGTCCGAGTTTCATTCTATAATATCCATAATTATGAATTATTTTTAATAATTTCTTTTAAAAGTTATTCATAATAAAAACAAAGTAACGATAACATTATCATTAATGTGCTGTGTCACTTTAGGATGTGAATTAACATGGCTCTCCACAAAATCCTGACCATCTTTTTGACGTTGTACCACACTTTCGTGTTTATGACCTGACATCCATTCACACAAATTCATTAGTATAATTTCCTCACTTTTCACCGTATGAATATCGACCAGAGAAACCTCCATGGACATACACTTGATGAAGGACGAAATATTATGATACCAACAACAAAGATGAGGACAATAATCCATATGTAATTAATAACATTCATCCCAGAAATTAGATGTAAAATATAATCGTTAAAAACCTTATAATATAAAGAATTTGAAAAAGTCATTCAAAGGGTTTTAACATTCAATATGTTTTATATATTTTGTCATTCACTTACCCGTAATATTTTATTTATAAATAATCTCAAAGGTCAAAATATTTCAAGTAACTTAATGAAATATTATTTTATATTTTTGCATGTTGATACGAGATCTTTGGCATTGAAAAAATGTCATTAATTTTTCGGTAATTGATATGTGGAGACAAACTGTGCAGAAATATCTAAACTTTCAGCAGTATAGAACTGCATTCTCAGGTAAATGGTTAAAAACTGCTTCAAGCGAGTTAGGATGTGAATCTTGGTGAAGATCAAACTTCTTTGAACTAAACGCTTTATAGTTCCAACCCATACTAGATAGCACAATTTCAGATCACTTGAGGACTTTCAACAACAGAAATATCTAAAATGGATAAAACATGTAACATGAAGAGAAAATAATGCGATATTCAAGACGATGACAAAATGAAAGGTTAGTAAGCAAACTGGTAAGAGTGATAACAGTTACTGGACGTGAGAAATATATTGTCCTTACAAGTTCTTTTACATTTAGTTGAGAAAGATTTTTTGAATTTCAACCGACAGTAGTGCTGACTGCTCGTTTAATGAATGCGAAATGTTTCCTTGCCTAATATTACCATGACAGAACCAACGACTTTTACTTTTTCTGACTGTACCAGCGCGATACTTTGAATTACAAGGGACGCCTCTTTGTGTCTGCTCATAATAATTGTAAGCATGTCCCTACAGTAGCTAAGTCTTTGGTTGATGGTAGAATTAGGTATAGCCTCTAACAAATCTGGCCTTCGTGAACACTGGCAGCGCTGTAACAGTGTGTTAAATAAAATTAAGTTTTCTATCCTAATCTTCACTCATTTGGAGGTGTTAACATGGTGTTTTGCTCGTAGTTTCTCTTGACAAATCTAGTAATCTCTAATATCTTAGCCTGGCTTTCCACTTAGAACTGAGTACCTATTTTGTTATATACATATAACTCCGCCCATGATCCCTGCTATCAGCTCTTTACTGGAGTCACACAAAGCAGATGGACTTGATGGTATTCCTGCAATAGTCATTAAAAAAATGTGGCCTGAACAGGTTTCTCTTTTTTCTAAATTCCATAATAAATGCGTTGCTACTTCTTGCTTTCTGTTTGTTGGAAATATTCTTCTGTAGGTCCAAGAATATACAGAATGCAGTTCATCTCAAAGATAACCACAATCTCTTGCGAACTTGGGCAAGGAATTGCTTTTTTTAAAATCTTTAACTCCTCCAAAACGAAACTGGTTTATTTTAATCACTTGAGAGAACTTTTTTTTTACCTCCCATCAGCTGACCCATTGACCGTTCAAGGCTGACGTTTTCCGCTGAAATGAAATGGAAATATTATTGCTCGCAATATTGGTTCACTGAGTCATTCTAGTTCTTTTTCCTCAACTTTTTTCCGGACAGCATGAATTTAATCATGCTACTAGATTGGCATTTAAGCCCCACCTTTAACTGTTGGAATAAATGTAACCACCAATTCTACTCCAACAATATCTTTTCTCTCACTTCCTGCCTGTGTAACTCTCTTCCATTTATTCGCTTCCCTGAAAATTAAAATCTTCAAAAATTAAATGCAACGTCAATCACCATTTTCTATTTTCTTGAATACAGTTCATCTTTTGTCCTTTCCTCGATCATCTCTATACTCAATTTTTCCCTCACTTCCACTCTCTGTAATCCTCTGCGTACTAGTGACATTTCCATATTGCTTGGGGTGAAATGATTAATATATATATATATATATATATATATATATATATAAAAGTGAACATAGAAGTCAACACTTAGATGCGTCAGTCTGTTTCATGTTAGATGCAATCGTCAGGACACGAGTGGTGTTATTTCTCTCGGCTATTTATATATACGGGTCAGTGGTGCATTGTGGGTAGTCTATTTTGGCGGTTATTTTACCGGAAGTCGTTTATATATATATATATATATATATATATATATATATATATATATATATTCAAATAAAAAAGAAATAAAAATAGTAAAAGACATTGACACAACAGATAAAATTTTAGTGGAATCCGACAAAACAGGAAAATTCTATAAAATAACGACAAAAGACTACAACGATCTAATAAATAAAGATTTACATAAGAACTACAAACAGGCTAGCAATAATGACCTCAACATGGTTGAAAATATTAATACTAGCAGTAAAAAAAATCACTGACAAACTGAAGATTAGTGATAGAGTAGGTCAACTAAAGGAAAGAGAGTGCTATATAACATTAGAGAACCACAAACCAGATTTTGAGGCTAATCCGACTACAAGGATAATAAACCCTACAAGACCTGATATCGGAAAAATTAGTAAATTGATCCTCGAAAGGGTAAATCACCAAATTAAAGAAAAAATAGGCCTGGAACTTTGGATTTGTTATACCTGAACATAC